TCTCGGCTTCAACTACGTCTGAGGGTGACGAAGACTCGGACGTCTCCAGAGACACCAGTGCCGGCTACGGCAACGGGAGCTCATTTATTCGGAGGAGCATCGAAGCGTATTCTAAAGAGCCCGATCACACTGGTACGTTTTGCTTTGGATACAGTTTTAATTGTTCTGACGAATGGCTTTCAGCAGGATCGCGGTCTTTTTTCTCGCTTTCAAATTTTCGTAGCAAAGGCAGCGATTCTAAAAGTCGATGACGCCCGTGAGCGATGTTATGGTTTTTTTGTAGGAACTTTTTGCTCTCTTTCTCGGGTAGAAGCACTGGTGTTTGCTGGAAACATGAAAGATAAGCAGAGGTGTATATACTTCTTTCTCAATTAATATGTTTCTTGAGATTTTAGATCTCTAAGCTGTTTGACGACTCGCGTGCCGTCGGCTTTGACTCGGTCAGATCAAATGTTGTTAATTGTATTGACGAGACTAAACCGTGGATTAGACTGAATGGGGGGGCGAACTAGCTGCGGCATTGCTCTTCCAGCAAATGAGGATCTCTCTTTCAGGCCGTGATCAACAGGTGGGGGGTACAGAATCTCAGGAGCGCGAAGATCGCATGAGTAACGCTGCAAGCTACTTCGTCTTTTGGAATTGTCTACGGCGTATACTGCGACCGGAACACAATGCTAAGTGGTGGTACTCAACCGTTCACATCGTGACGGCTATGGTAGGAGCTGGAGTTCTGAGCCTTCCGTCCACAATGGTCTACCTGGGATGGTAAATTTTTCGGGAAAATTCATGGACATGGAGCGACTAACTTTGTGTGTCCACAGGGCTCCTGGAATGATGATGCTGGGCGTTTCGTGGATAATCACACTGGCTACCATGTACCAAATGATTGAGATGCACGAGGACGAGTCAGGGAGACACGACACTTACCAGTGTCTCGGCCGGAAAGCATTCGGGGACAGGCTTGGGAATCTCATAGTTGGCTCGCAGCAGATCGTAGTTCAGGTGACCGCCAACATTGCTTACTTGGTAACTGGCGGCCAGGCGCTCAAGAGGTTCGGGGATCTTGTTCTGAATCGCGAGATTCAGTACGGGAAGTTTGAGCTTGCTGTGGCATGGATATCCGCGTTTGCTGGAGTTCAGGCGGTGCTGTCGTTGTTTGCCAGTTTCTCGTCCATGACAATCGTCTCTCTGATGGCCTCCATCATGTCTTTCAGGTAAAATCCTGTTATTTCTTTGTCTTGTTGTATGAGAATGTAATTCACATTTCACTCAGCTACTCGACTATAGTTTGGGCAACAGCTATCCGGCTTAAGAGTTCGCAAGCATCGTATGGCTACTGCAACTTGACATACTACAGAGCCTTTAATGCACTCGGAGAGATTGCGTTTGCCTACGGAGGCCACAACGTTGCTCTCGAGATCCAAGCGACGATGAGATCGACGAGGCACAAGCCGTCCAAGCTACCAATGTGGAATGGAGTTTTGGTGGCCTATGTCATGGTTGCCGTTTGCTATTTCCCAGTCGCTGGAGTTGGCTACTGGGCTCTCGGCAACTTGACTTGCTACGAAAACGTTCTGGACGTCCTCGACAAACCAAAGTGGCTGATAGGAACAGCCAACTTGATGCTTATGCTGCATCTCACAGGGAGTTACCAGGTAAGCTAATCTTCCATTGGTTCCTCGTTCTTACGTGCTCCATCCCAGGTTTTTGCTTTACCGATTTATGATGCTCTCACTTGCTGGCTGGAGCAAAAGAAACTGCCAATCAATGCTTGGATTAGGCCTCTTTACGTAGGTAAGGGGGCATTATTCTTCTTGGTGAATTTTCACAAGCTTGAGTTGCCAGGATTTACGTGTTTGGTTGCGGTGATCATACCTTCGTTTGCCGGGCTTCTGGGATTATTCGGTGGGCTCGCTCTTGGACCAACAACGTATTTCGTACGTATTTCAGTGACTCAAAACTTCCCTTTCTTCTCTCTGACGTGTTTCCAGCAGTTGCCGTGTATAATGTGGCTAAGCATCAAGAAGCCAAGAGTCCTTGGTCTTGAGTGGCTTTTAAACTGGGTAAAAATCTCATCATTTTAAGCTTTTGACATGGTGGTGCGAACCAATGCAGGCATGCATTTTGTTTGGCGTCGTCCTCACGATTGTGTCGGCAATTGGAAGCATCGTAAATCTCAAGCACGGCTTCGAAGAGCAAAATCTCAAAGTATTCTACTTCCCGCGATTGCAGCAGTGCAACTCGACCTCAACAAACGCAAGCTGTCCCGTGCGGCATTGAATTCCCGTCGCTTGGTTGTTCGCTCCAGGCTCCAGCTAGCGCTCTACAATGAAAAGTTTTCTGACGATAATGTTCTCATCAAGTACTTTGCATGTGCCCCTCTGACTGTTTGGATTTAGAAGAGTCTCCGCTACGAGTACAGTTTCAACTTGCGTGCTTAACGTGGGCGAAATGCAACAAAGTAGCGTCCGTCAGTGTTATCACTCGCTGACACATATCTACAGCATCCGATATTGATATCAACACCTATCGTCTCCACGGGGTTTAAAGCGACTCGAGATTAGCACCAATTCAAAGTTCCTCGCATCTCTCTTACTCCCTCCAGCGATCGAGCAACAATGGCTTCGTCCGGCTCCAGCAATCTCCCGATGAAGGAAGTCCCAGGATCATACGGCCTGCCAGTCGTGGGTGCTCAAAAGGACAACTTGGACTTCCTCCACCTCCAAGGCGAGGTGGAGTTTTTCAAGAGCAGGGTGGCCAGGTACAATAGCACCGTCTTCAAAGTTAACTTCATCCCGGGAAATCCAGCCTTCCCGGATCCTCGCGGCATCGCCCTCCTGGACCAGAGCTCCTTCCCGGTCCTGCTCGACAGCTCCAAGGTGGACAAGACCAACGTGTTCACGGGCTCCTACAAGGCATCCGACGATTTCACGGGAGGATACCGGGTGCTGTCCTACCTCGACACCACCGATCCCAAGCACGCAACGCTCAAGAACTTCGCCTTCGAGGTGCTCAAGCGAAACGGCCGCAAGTTCCTGCCCGAGTTCCAGTCGGCCTTCCACGCCGCGTTCGATGCCGCCGAGTCGGAGCTGTCGTCCGGGAAGAACAAGGCCGACATGGCACCGCTGCTCAACCAGCTCGCCTTCCAGTTCCTGGCCAAGTCCATCGTCAACGTGGATCCGTTGACTACTATGCTCGCTGACCAGGGCCCGACTCACCTCCTCCGTTGGATCGGGATCCAGTTCGCGCCGGTAGCGCCTGGCAATAGCACTCCACTGCCCGGATTCGCCGAGGATGTCGTCATACGTACCGCGCCACTGCCATTCTTGCTCGTCAAGGCCGACTACGACAAGCTCTGCGAGTTCTTCCAGCTCGCCGCCGAGATGCTGGACATGGGCGAGAAGGAGTTTGGGCTGTCGCGAGAGGAGGCCGTACACCAGCTGCTCTTCCTCGTCGGGATGAACAGCTGGTTTGGATTCAGCGCCAGAGTGCTGCCCAATCTTCTCTACCGTGTTGGAACTCTCGGGGCCGAGTTTCAGAAGAGGCTGGGGGATGAGATCCGTGCTGCGATCGACGTGGGCGATCCGGCGGGGTCGTTCTACGGCGCACTGGAGAAAATGCCGCTGCTCAAGTCGACTGTGCTGGAGGTCTTCCGGTTTGATCCGCCCGTGCTCTACCAGTACGGACGCCCCCGGGAGGATATGGTGGTGGAGTCACACGATGCGAAGTTTGTGATCAAGAAGGGACAGCTCTTGGGTGGGTCGCAGGCACTGGTTTGCCGAGATCCAAAGGTGTTTGAGGAGCCGGATCAGTTGATCCCGGACAGGTTTGTGGGGAAGGAGGAGCTCCAGGCGAATGTGTTTTGGTCCAATGGAAGGAATACGAAGTCACCCACCGCGGATGACAAGCAGTGTGCTGGGAAGAATTTCGTGGAGACAATCGCCAGGTTCTACCTGGTGCAGTTGTTTGCGAGATACAAGACTTTTGAGCTGAGTGAGGACTCCACACTCAACACTCCGTTTCTCAAGCCATTTGCACGAAATTAGTGTAAGAACTAGCTAAATATATAAATAATTTGGTAGTCTATGTTTTAAATGTTTAACTTCAAATTTAGAATTTAAGAAGTGTATTCATTAAAATACAATATTACAATATGGCTTAATTCTAGACTATAACCACATGTTTCTCAAAATTTATTTATTTTTATTTCTTACTTTATTTTCAATTTATTTATTTTTATTTTTATTATATAATATAAATAAATTATTTTAATTTATGTAAATGAATAATTTTAAAAAGTTTTTTGTAAAGTAATTAATATTAAAAAATAAATAAAATTTTAAAATTGCTGAAAAATAAAGTTTCAATCATATTATTGATTATATACTATAAAAATATTAATTGAAGAGTTCAGGACAATCACAAAAGCTTATTAAATATGGAATGATGTTAAATAGTGAATCTAAACACGAGAACAACACTATTGTATTTTAAGAACCAATTCAATAATTACTAAAATCCCAATATGATAATAATAATATATGACATCGTAATTATAGACCTTATATGGTAGATTATTATTATAATAAATTAGAAAGACAACATAAATTTACTTATAAAACAAGAAATTTTTTATTCAATTACTTCGCTTGATATGCAGGGAAAGCTCTACTTTTTTTATATACTTAGCTATTTAGTAATCATAAATGTACAGATAATTATTATTATTATGTTGTCTAAAGCAATCTTTTATTTAGTTATTGCAGATTACTTTATCACTGATCGTTTAATGTAATCAACCAGCTAGTTTCTATTCAAAAATATAATATGACTGTTTAGGTGCTTAAGTATTCAACTAAAATTAATATCATTTAAAAATACTAATAATAATCAAACCTTCCACGAGCTCAGTAATATAGTCTTTTCCAAAGAAGTTCATTGTCTTGACGAGATCAAACTGTGTATTAGGAACTCTGCCATCGAAGCTGCTCTTCCAGCAAATGAGGGCCTCTCTATCAGCCCGTGATCAACAGGTGGGTGGTACAGAATCTCATGAGCGCGAAGATCGCATGAGTAACGCTGCAAGCTACTCCGTCTTTCGGAATTGTCAACGGCGTATACTGCGACCGGAACACAGTGGTGGTACTCAACCGTTCACATCGCGACGGCTATGGTAGGAGCCGGAGTTTTGAGCCTTCCGTCGACAATGGTCTACCTAGGATGGTATTCCATTGTATGTCATGGAGAGACTAAATTTGTGTGTCCACAGGGCTCCTGGAATGATGATGCTGGGCGTTTCGTGGATAATCACACTGGCTACCATGTACCAATTGATCGAGATGCACGAGGATGAGTAAGGGAGATACGACACTTACCGGGATCTCGGAAGAAAAGCATTCGGGGACAGGCTTGGGTTCATAGTTGGTTTGCAGCAGATCGTAGTCCAGGTGGCTGCCAACATTGCTTACTTGGTAACTGGCGGCCAGGCGCTCAAGAGGTTCGGGGATCTTGTTCTGAGTCGCGAGATTCAGTACGGGAAGTTTGAGCTTGCTGTGGCATGGATATCCGCGTTTGCTGGAGTTCAGGCGGTACTGTCGTTGTTTGCCAGTTTGTCGTCCATGACAATCGTCTCTCTGGTGGCCGCCATCATGTCTTTCAGGTATCTTTTTCCTTTTTGTATGAAAATCTAACTCGCTTTTCATTCAGCTACTCGACTATAATTTGGGCAATAGCTATACGGCTTAAGAGTTCGCAAGTATCGTATGGCTACTGCAACTGGAGATACTACAGAGCCTCTAATGCACTCGGAGAGATTGCGTTTGCCTACGGAGGCCACAACGTTGCTCTCGAGATCCAAGCGACGATGAGATCGACGAGGCACAAGCCGTCCAAGCTACCAATGTGGAATGGAGTTTTGGTGGCCTATGTCATGGTTGCCGTTTGCTATTTCCCAGTCGCTGGAGTTGGCTACTGGGCTCTCGGCAACTTGACTTGCTACGAAAACGTTCTGGACGTCCTAGACAAACCAAAGTGGCTGATAGGAACAGCCAACTTGATGCTTATGCTGCATCTCACAGGGAGTTACCAGGTAAGCTAATCTTCCATTGGTTCCTCGTTCTTACGTGCTCCATCCCAGGTTTTTGCTTTGCCGATTTATGATGCTCTCACTTGCTGGCTGGAGCAAAAGAAACTGCCAAAAGAAAGGGAGCGTTGTTCTTCTTGGTGAATTTCCACAAGCTTGAGCTGCCAGGATTTACGTGTTGGTTGCGGTGATCATACCTTCGTTTGGAGGGCATCTGGGATTATTCGGTGGGCTCGCTCTTGGACCAACAACGTATGTCGTACGGATCAGTGACTCAAAACTTCCCTTTCTTCTCTCTGACGTGTTCCCAGCAGTCGCCGTGTATAATGTGGCTAAGCATCAAGAAGCCAAGAGTCCTTGGTCTTGAGTGGCTTTTAAACTGGGTAAAAATCTCATCATTTTTAGATCGGAAGCTTTTGACATGGTGGTATGAACCAATGCAGGCATGCATTTTGTTTGGCGTCGTCCTCACGATTGTGTCGAGAATTGGAAGCATCGTAAATCTCAAACACGGCTTCGAAGAGGAAAACCTCAAAGTATTCTACTTCCCGCGATTGCAGCAGTGCAATTCGACCTCAACAAACGCAATCTGTCCCGTGCGGCATTGAATTCCCCTTCGCTCCAGGATCCAGCTGGCCATGGATACAGCGCTCTACAATGACAAGTATTTCGAATATAATGTTCTCATCCAGTATTTCGCATGTGCCCCTGTGATTGTTTAGATTTAGTAGAGTCACTACGAGAACAGTTTCAACTTGCGATCCGGCGGGGTCGTTCTATGGGAGAAAATGCTGCTGGTCAAATCGACTGTGCTGGAGGTCTTGATCCCGTGCTCTACCAGTACGGGAGGATTTGGTGGTGGAGTGGCATGATGCGAATTTTGTGATCAAGGAGCAGATATATTATACTTTATTAATGTTAAAGTTAAATAAAATAAATAAACACATATTTTGACCACCCAAAACACATAGAAGTGAACTAATACTAAATGGAAACATCTAAAGGCAAAGAATACATTCTCATCGATTGAAGGAGATCAATGTGTTTCCACAAGAACAAAATATTGTTGTGTATTTTTGCAATTTCCCTTCCTTTAGTGTTCTTAGAGTTTATAATTGCATTTTCTTATTTGGGTTTTTAGTGAGGTACCTTTTAGGAAATGTTATTTTTAGTCAGTTCAACCATAACAACCTCACAATCTTTTTGAAGGATCTTTGTGGTTGAGATACAGAGTTTGGAAATATATATGTTATTAAAAAATTTAAAAACTTTATTTATTAAAATTAAGAATTCTGTAACTAGTTTTACTCTGAAAAATAATTATATTATGCAAGTCTCTAAAACTAGAATTGCCAAATTTACAATCCTATTCTTTGACAACCATTTTCAAGGGCTTCTGGGTGGATTAAAATTTATGATCAATTATAAAGATCAGATGAAATCATGGTACTAAGATTTTGTGAGTTAAGGTTGCCATCTTTAATCGCTTACCATCTGGTGACTAAAGAAAGCCATACCAACTTAAAACTCTCCTATTTAATCTAATTTTTATAGATACCACAAATCATTCAAAGTTTTTTAGCCATTTGTGAAGGAAAGCCATTCTATCTTCTCTTTTAAGAGTTTTTATCCATTATAAGGATAGAATGACATCACACAATTGCTATTAGGATCTTGTGAGTAATGGAGTTAAGATCATTATTGCTACTCAGAGTTTAAGATAATAGAGTTTGTTACAAAGTGGGAAGATGGTGTAAAGCTCAAGTACATCACAATTTAAGATAATATTTTGTGTAAGTACTTGTGTACCACATAGATATTCTGAAATAAAGCTGTTCTCCTTCCTGCCACCCCAAATTCACTGTACTCGATCTTGTTAGTTCTTCTATTGTTCTAAAAATATTAAATTATATTTTTATTAGCATTTACTTTATCGCCTTTTAAATATTGTAATATATTTCACTAAAACATTTAAACTTAAATACGGCAAACCATGCAAAAAGTAACATAACAAATATTTGGATAACTGAGTAAGTAGTACTTATGGCAGAACCGCAAGTATGTCATCAGCGCTGGAGACCTTGAAGTCGCCACCCTCCTCAATGTTGGCAGCCTTGACAACGAGATCATCCAGCAGCAAAGCAAACCTTTTGGATCGAATCCCCATGCCTCGCTCCGTCAGGTCCAGCTCCAGTCCCAAGCTCTTGGTGTAAGTCGCGGAGCCGTCTGCCAGGAACATCACGGCCGAATCCTCTGGATAGGTCTTGGCCCATTCACGAACAACGAAAGGATCGTTCACTGGACAAAAGGTTTCAATCCATCGCGAGAAAGAATCAGGATTTACCAGTCAAGCACAGGATCTTATCCACGCCCTTGGCCTTGAGCTCCGGTGCCTTGTCAATGTATCCAGGGACATGCTTCAAGCTAGAAAGAGATAGATCGAGCTCGCATTGATTTGCAAGAGGAAAAGAAGAAAAGGGCACCTGCAAGTAGGAGTGAAAGCTCCTGGAACTCCGAACAGGACCACTTTCTTCTTCTCGGCTAGGGCGTAGATGGAAACGTTCTGGAGCTTGCCATCCTTGTCGAAGTAGGAGAGCGTGCCGTCGGGGATGATCTCCTCCACGCCGATGGGTGCCATTACCTGGATTGCCGGAAGGAATAGATAGAGAGAAACACTCACAAAGAATGCGAAATGCCCTAGCACAATGGGAATTAACAGAAGTGCCGGCTTTGTTTGTCCGGACCGAAAGTCTGATTCCAGTTGACCGTCAACGGTAGCATGGCATATTAGTCAAATGTTCGCATCTACTTTAAATTTGATGAGGGCCAATGTTACTAGTGTGTGAAACAAGCAATGACCTGAGATTTGATTCCAACTTGGGTTGTTCGGTCTAGTTTGCGTTCTTTTTGAGTGGTCAATTACGCCGACAATTTTGTCATTCTACCTTTGTGACAAGTTGAAAACTGCTGTGTCGCTTTGTTGAGAGGATCGTGTATGATACGGTTTCTGTAAGTGAAGTTGCTACTGGTATGTATCCTATTGGGATAGATAACTTTGGGATGCAAGACTGATGTTTGTAAATATGCAAGGATGAGGATTGCTACTCATTTCTTCATAATTATTATCATTATTAGTTTACAAAGTTTCCTGAGAATTCAGCTTTGAATGTTCCACAACTGGTGGCTAGGCCGCGTTCAAGGGTGAATCCTACTATTTGTAATCACTTTATCACTCCACATCAAGAAAAAAAAACCAGGGCTCCAGAAATTTTCGGATTTAAAACCACGTTTTATTCCCCCAAGTGAACAGATTGCGAGATTTCTGAAATATATAGGAGACAAATCAACGCCGTCGTCTGAATTCTCAACACGGTGCATAGTTTTCTATGTAAGGGCTAATTTAAGGTGGACTTAACGAGGCTGTGCGAGAGTGAGCGCTCGCGTTTATAGTTTTTGCTCAGCTCCCAGAGATGGCGCCACACGAGAACGACAGCACCAACAATGGCTCCTCGCCTCCCTCCTCCACGCAGGCATTCAAGGTAGGAAAGAATCCCTTCCCAAAAGCTGGGAAAAAGTCCCGAGATCCCCCTTTTTTTCCCAGATTCTCACAGCTCCTCGTTTTCTGGATTGAATCTGTAGGAGTATGTCGAGGACAAAGGCCACGCTCGAACTGTGAAATCCGTGGACGATTGGCTGCCCGTTGGCAGTGGCTCCAGGAACGCCAAGTGGTGGTACTCGGCCTTCCATAATGTCACCGCCATGGTTGGAGCTGGAGTTCTTAGCCTCCCCTCGGCGATGGTCTATCTTGGCTGGTAAGTTCTTCGCAGCTCTTCTTCGTTTCAATCGCTAGCTTCAAATTCGCTTAGTTTCGATCCAAATTCTTGGTCAGTCAGTGTTTTCTCATTCGTGCTCTTGTCATGCCTGTGGAAACAAGAAAAGACCTCGCGTGCTTTCTTCCTGGTCTAAAAGTCTTCTCCTCGCTGCCCGTGACTTCCTTGCCATGACGAGTAGTCAATTTTTTTTTAATGGATCTCCGTGTTGGCAAAGACTGTGACTCGTTACTTAAGTCCGTTGTCCATCGCCCACCCTAGTCGTGTGTCGCCCGCAATCCTCCAGCTCCATGTTCTTGACAAATGGTTTTCCAACTTTTCCAAGCAACTTTAAAGATTTTTTTTTCGTTCCAGGGGACCGGGGGTCCTTGTTCTTGTACTGTCGTGGGTGATCACACTCTACACGCTGTGGCAAATGGTGGAAATGCACGAAATGGTCCCGGGGAAGAGATTTGATCGCTACCACGAACTCGGGCAGGAGGCTTTCGGAGAGAAACTTGGACTGTGGATCGTCGTGCCCCAGCAGCTCATCGTGGAAGTTGGAGTGGACATCGTCTATATGGTCACAGGAGGGACGTCTCTCATGAGATTCTACGAGCTCGTCCATTGCAAGCCCGATGACATCAGCTGCAAGCACATCAAGAAAACTTACTGGATCCTCGTCTTTGCCTCGGTTCACTTCTTCTTGTCCCAGCTCCCAAACTTCAACTCCATCACCGGAGTCTCCTTGGCAGCAGCCGTCATGTCTCTCAGGTAAGAAGAAGAACTCAAAACTTTTACGCAACTTTGCCAACTTTTTATTTCTTTTCCGCAGTTACTCGACGATTGCATGGGTTGCTCCAGTGCATTACGGCCAAGAAGCAAAGCCACCAATGACCAAAGTGAGCTACGCTTATCCTCACTCTCCATCAGTGGCGAACACTGTGTTTAGAGTTTTCAATGCTCTCGGGCAGGTAGCGTTTGCCTACGCCGGTCACAACGTTGTTCTTGAGATCCAGGCGACAATCCCTTCCTCGCCGCAAAAGCCATCCAAAGTTCCAATGTGGAGGGGAGTGGTCGTGGCGTATATTGTCGTGGCTATGTGTTACTTCCCGGTTTCCTTGGTTGGATACTGGGCTTTTGGAAATGATACCAGCTATGACAATGTTCTCCAGCGTCTCGGGAGACCCGAGTGGCTCATCGCGGCTGCCAATCTCATGGTTGTGGTTCACGTCATTGGAAGCTACCAGGTAAGCTGAGTTCTCTCTTCTCGACTTGTTTCAAGTAAGCTCTTTGATTGATCGAGGTTTTGTTTCGTTTCCTTAAACAGATCTATGCGATGCCAGTGTTTGATATGCTGGAAACCGTTCTGGTCAAGAAATTTCACTTTCCTCCAGGTGTGATTCTTCGTCTCGTCGCTCGATCACTCTATGTTGGTAAGTTTTGGAGATTTTTTATTCATCCAGATCACTCAACACTGGAACTTTTATCTTGGCAGCTTTCACTGCCTTCGTTGGGATGACTTTTCCTTTTTTTGGAGACTTGCTGGGTTTTTTCGGAGGTTTTGCGTTTGCTCCCACGACTTACTTTGTAAGTTCCTCTAATTTTTTTTGTTTTGGTTGATTTCTTTGGCTTAACCTTCTTTGCATTAATCCACAGCTCCCGTGTATTATGTGGCTGGCTGTTTACAAACCCAGAGTTTTCAGTCTTTCGTGGATGGCAAACTGGGTACGCAAACCTTTCTGTCCAGAAAAAAAAAACTATTGCTTTAATTTTTATATTTTCTCGTGGATTGCAGATTTGTATTGTCTTGGGAGTGCTGCTAATGCTTGTAGCTACTATTGGAGGCTTCAGAAGTATCGTCCTGGATGCATCAACATACCAGTTTTATCAGTAGCTGCAAAAGGTATACAGAAGAAAAAAGTATTGCTTCAAATGTATATGGGTTCCATACATATTAAATCGATATCCAGAAAATATATAAAAAAGATATTTCCATTTGGCCATATTTGGCAGGTCTGGAACTTTAAGTTCAACACCTAGAGACTAGCAATTCTTTGCCTGGATTTGGACATACTAATTTTTGTTCGTTCTTTAGAGATTTTTTTCGCAATGGAAGCTCAGAAGATGAAGAAAATGAAACTAGGAGGAGAGGAGGAGGAGCGAAAATCTTCCCACAAAGCATCAAAATCCTTTCAATATCTTTTTTTGGAATCTAAAATTCCCCTTCTTGCAGGAATCTTCTATCAATGTGGACGAATGGCTGCCAGTGACGAGCTCGAGGAACGCCAAATGGTGGTACTCCGCGTTTCACAACGTAACCGCGATGGTAGGATCGGGCGTGCTGGCGTTACCCTCGGCTATGGTTTATCTGGGATGGTAACGTTCGAATGTTATAACGTCTACATTTTTTAGGGTTCTTCGTTTTTCCAGGGGGCCTGGGATCTTCGTGCTCCTCCTCTCCTGGACCGTCACGCTCTACACGCTATGGCAAATGGTGGAGATGCACGAGATGGTGGAGGGCAAGCGCTTCGATCGCTACCACGAGCTCGCGCAGGAGGCGTTTGGCGAGCGCCTGGGGCTGTGGATCGTGGTGCCGCAGCAGCTCATCGTCGAGGTCGGCGTCGACATCGTCTACATGGTCACCGGCGGGAAATCGCTCAAGCGATTCTACGAGCTGGTGAGCTGCGCGCCCGACGCGACCGGATGCAAGCACATCCGGCAGTCGTATTGGATCCTGGTGTTCGCGTCGATCCACTTCGTGCTGGCGCAGCTCCCCAATTTCAACTCCATCTCGGGGATTTCGCTCTCCGCGGCGGTCATGTCTCTCAGGTGAGCAAGATTTCGATCGTGTTGAGCCAGATTTCGATCCCGTCGATCGTTCTTCTCTTGAAATATTTCGTGGGGTTTGTGCTAAGTTCTTCTTCCTTCCATTGGCAGCTATTCCACGATCGCCTGGACGACCGCGATCCCCAATGCCGGGGGGCCGGATGTGAGCTACAGCTATCCTCACTCCCCATCGGCAGCCAACACGGTGTTCAAGGTTTTCAATGCGCTGGGAATGATCGCGTTCGCCTATGCCGGGCACAACGTTGTTCTTGAGATCCAGGCAACCATTCCATCCTCGCCGAGCAAGCCGTCCAAGGGCCCGATGTGGAAGGGAGTGGTGGTGGCGTACATGGTCGTGGCGATTTGCTACTTCCCGGTGGCTCTCATCGGCTACTGGGCATTTGGGAACGATACTTCTTACGACAACATTCTCCAACACATCGGTACTCCACACTGGCTCATCGCTGCTGCCAATCTCATGCTCGTTGTTCATGTCATTGGCAGCTACCAGGTTTGCTATGCTTTTTAAAAAAAAATTCTTCTTGTTCTTCTAGTGTTGATTTGTTGATCTTTTATGTGGCAGATTTACGCAATGCCTGTGTTTGACATGCTCGAGACGCTTCTTGTCAAGAAGCTCCACTTGCCTCCTGGCGTTTGCCTCCGTCTCATCGCCAGAACAGTCTACGTTGGTAAGCTTTTCTTTTCGAGCTTCCGAGTTTCCGACTCAGGCCAGGCTTTGCTTTCACAGCATTTACAGCGTTTGTAGCGATCACAATCCCGTTCTTCGGAAATCTTCTCGGTTTCTTTGGAGGATTTGCACTAGCGCCCACAACTTATTTCGTAAGTCTTTTGGCTTTTGTGTTTCTCTTTCGTTCAATGCTTTCCGTTCCAGCTACCGTGTATAATATGGCTGGCAGTGTACAAACCCAAGCGATTCAGCTTTTCATGGCTCGCAAACTGGGTAAGATACTCTCGAGCTTTTCTTGGTCGCTCTCTAACACTTAATGCTCTAGATATCGATCGTGCTGGGCGTGCTGCTAATGATAGCAGCCACAATCGGGGGATTCCGGAACTTGGTAATGGATGCGTCGACTTACAAGTTCTATCAGTGATTTAGAAGTGAGTGATCCTCTCAAAATAATTTGCTACTTACTAGCGGAAGAGAAAAGATATCACATCGATCTCATCCTTCTCTCGCTACTTATATATCTGTTTGTGCACAGTGTCAAACAATTGAAAGTGAGACAAATAGCATCTCCAAGGATTCTCGTGGCATAATCACCGGTCGCATTGAAAGCTCTGGTACGAGACAATTACTTGTTTGGTTGCTGTTGCGTTCATCCTGTCTCTCTTTTCTTCTTTCCTCGTTGTGTGGACACATTCATTAGCATAAGACTAAGAGAGGTGACCGGCACTAGCCAGTGCCCGAGGAGCGGCACCGGCTGAGCCGGTTGGCGCCAAAAGCTTCCTTTCAGAGGTCAAAACCTCGAATATACTATAGATTCGCTGTCTCTGAAAAATAGATGTATTTTTAATGGGTCCCATTTAATGCCATTTATGGGGAGTCCAGGTCACATCCACAGTCTGACGTGGAAGACACGTGGATAAAAAGGCGTACGATAACTTTCGTTTAATGATGAAAGACTCACAGTCAGTTAGGGCTCGCGGCGGAATGTGCGACGAATCTACCGATTTCCTTGGCGGAGCCTTGACGTCCCTGGCATATTCCGCCAGCGGAAGAAGCTCTGGCTATGGCGGTCTATGGAGCTCACGGGACTTGGTGACGGCGATTGAAATCCCGTTGTGAGCTTTCACGTGTGAGCGGCGGCGGGTATGGCGTGCGGGGTATGAAGAATCTTTGCAATGCAGCTCGCGAGCTTCTAGGATTCCAAGAATGAGCGCCAGGATCCATGGCCGGCGCGCCGGAGCTCCAGGGAAGATCGATTCCGTGCTCTTCCTTGCAATCTTGGCGCTGATCTTGGCCTCGCTGCCGCGGCATTCGGCGGGGGAAGAGGATGAGACGGTGTCGTGGAACGACGATGTTCTTGGGCTGCTGGTCTTCAAGGCGGGGCTCCAAGATCCTCGCGGATCGCTGGCTTCTTGGAGCGAGGCGGATTCATCGCCATGCAATTGGACGGGAATCCGGTGTGGCAGCGCCAGCGGCAGGGTCGAATCGGTCTCGCTCGATGGCCTGGCACTGTCGGGCACGATTGGGAGAGGCCTCCTCAAGCTCGAACGCCTCAAGACTCTCTCGCTCTCTGCCAACAATCTCTCGGGCAATGTGGTTCCGGAGCTCTTCCGGATGCTGGACTTCGTGGATTTGAAGAAGAATCGGCTGTCCGGGGAGCTGCCATCGCCCATGGGGGCTTCGATACGTTACGTGGATCTCTCAGACAACGCTTTCACTGGCGCTCTAGCCAGGGATTTCTTTGGGGGCGGCCATCTCCTCAGGTACCTTAGCCTTAGCAAGAACAGGTTAACGGGGCAGCTCTCTCCATCTCTGGCCGCAAACCAAACCGGGCTCGTCACTCTTCGCATTGCCGAGAATGGTTTCTCCGGCGATCTTCCGGATTGGATCGGCAAGAGCTTGCGAGCTTTGCAGGAGCTGGACCTCTCGTGGAACGGGTTCCAAGGCTCAATCCCACCGTCTCTCGCGACGCTTTCATCCCTGCGCTCGCTCAACTTGGCTGGAAACAATCTCACGGGGGTGGTTCCTCAGAGCTTGCTCCAGCTCCTTCGGCTCTCGAGCTTGGATCTCAGCAGCAACCATTTGGGTGGAAAGATTCCCTTTGGGCTTTTCTCGTCGAGCTTGCAGTTCCTCAATCTCTCCAGAAACGAGTTCCTGGGCGATTTTCCAATCTGGCCACCTTGTCATGCGCTTCAAGTGGTGGATATCTCCGGAAACAGGATTTTCGGGGAAGTGCCGTCGAGAATCGCCCAGTGTAGCAGCTTGCAGCACTTAAATGTGGGATGGAACGTCCTCTCTGGTGGGATTCCTGGACAGATCAGCCAGCTCCAGAGGCTTATGTTCTTGGACTTGAGCCACAACCAGCTCCAGGGAGGAATACCGTCCACTTTCACCAACATGAGCTCTCTCACCGTTCTAAAGCTGGCGAAGAACTTGCTGGTGGGAAACATTCCCAAGGCCATTTCCAAGTGCGAGCGTCTCGTAGAGCTGTAAGTCTTTTGCAGCTGCATTGTTTCTAGTTTTCTGATGAGTTTTGCGTTCGTTCTTTTTTCAGGGACTTGTCCTCGAATCGTTTGTCTGGAAGCATACCCGGGGCGCTCTCGAGGCTGAATTTTCTACAGTCTCTGGACCTCGCGTGGAACAACTTAACGGGTCCGATACCGAAGGAACTTGTGAAGCTGGAGAGTCTCTCTAGCCTCGACGTGTCGCACAATCATCTCGACGGTCCAATTCCGAAAGGTGGAGTTTTTAACTTGGTAAATCGGACTGCTTTCCAGGGAAATTCAGGCCTATGTGGAGCTGCTCTCGACGTAGCATGCTCGACGGTTCCTAAACCGATAGTGCTGAATCCGAATGCAAGCAGCGACACAGCAGGGATACTTCAATCCGGAGGACACAGGGGAAAGAACAAGATCGTACTCAGTGTGTCGGCGATCATAGCTATCTCCGCAGCAGCAGTGATCGCTCTGGGAATTGTGGTCGTCTCTGTCCTCAACATCCGTGCTCAGCAAGCTGCGCCGGCTGCTGCTCTCAAAAACAACTTTTTCATGGCGGATCACAACAGCTCTCCGAGTTCCTCCAGTGAGGATCTGGCCATTGGAAAGCTGGTCATGTTTACCGACGGAAATGACACAAAGTCCGAGGAGCTTCTTCCGAGCGCTCACTCGCTGCTTAACAAGGAGCAGGAGATTGGCCGTGGAGGATTTGGAGTTGTTTACCGGGCTGCTATATCGGATGGACGAACGTTTGCAGTAAAGAAGCTGGTGACTGCCGGATTGGTGAAGTCTCAGCTCGAGTTTGAGAAAGAAGTCCAGCAGCTGGGGAAGATCGAGCACCCGAACCTGGTCGCTCTTCAAGGCTACTACTGGACGTCGAGGATGCAGCTCCTTATTTATGACTTCGTTCCAAACGGGAGCTTGTACAGCAGGCTTCACGAACGAACATTTGGCGAGCCTCCACTGAGCTGGTCTGAGAGGTTTAAGATCGCACAGGGAACAGCAATGGGACTCTCGCATCTCCATCACTCCTGCCAGCCGCAGGTGATACACTACGATCTCAAGTCGAACAACATTCTTCTGGGTGTGGACAACAGGCCACTCATCTCGGACTACGGACTCGCAAATCTTCTCCCTGTACTGGACCGCTACGCCATCAGCAGCAAGTTCCAAGGAGCTCTCGGCTACATGGCTCCCGAGTTTGCGTCCCAGAGCTCCAAAGTGACCGAGAAGTGCGACGTCTATGGCTTTGGGATCATACTCTTGGAGCTAGTGACTGGAAGAAGGCCTGTCGAGTACATGGAAGAAGACGTTGTCATACTCTGCGACTACGTCCGGGCTTTGCTCAACGAAGGCCGGGGGATGAGCTGCGTGGAGCCGAGCCTGGAGGCCTGTCCGGAGGACGAAGTTTTGCCAGTCATCAAGCTGGGATTGATTTGCTCGTCGCCGCTCCCTTCGAACAGGCCGAGCATGGCGGAAGTCGTCCAGATTCTCGAGCTCGTAAGGCCTCTGCCCGGCATCGACAATAGCAACTCCATCTCCAGGAGCTCTTCTTCGTGATCTGATGATCTTCTTGCAGGTTGGTTTCTCGTTCTAATTTTTCGTTCTTTTCATCAATGTCTAGCTCTAGCATGCAGCGTTTGCAAGGAAGAAAGAGAACAAGCTTTACGGGACTCTCGGAGAAAGAAAAAAGAGTGAGAACCGGGAGTCCTGATGCTTGTTCTTTTTTAAATTCGAAGCTTATTCGGTGGAATATTCAGGGTTCTAGGGCTCTTGAGTTTCAAAGGCGGTTTTGCGCCAAAGGGCGGGAGTGAGCGGACGGTCGGATGCGCAAGTGTGAGGTCCGACGGTGCGCGATCGAGTAAGAGAATGTAGCGTGTCATTCTTTCGTCACATTCTACCAGGGTTTCACTCTCTCGCGAGGAGCTGTAGCTATGGCGCCAAAGAAGAAGGATGCCGGTAAGGGCAAAGGGAAGGATGCGGCAGCGGCGGCTGTGGATGCTGGACCGAGCATACAGGAGCTTCAAGCTCAGATCGATGGGATCACTGCCGAGAGAAACAAGGAGGCCAAGCAGAGAAATCGCTCGCAGATTGAGAGGGTAAGCTCGTGATTCTTGGTTAGTATTCTTAGTAGCGCTTCGTGGATTTCTCGAGTAATATTGGCCGAGCAGGACAAGCTAAATTGTTTCATGGAAATCAAAAAGAAAGAAAGGGAGCATGCGGAGGCGGAACTGCGGATCAAGGATAGACAAATGGAGGAGATTGCTGAGAAGCATCAAACTGACCTCAAGGCAATCCATTGTTTTTTTCGTACAGTATTGATCTCTATGCTCATAGTTTTTTCTTCTCTACAGGTTTTCAGCCAGAAGATGAAGCATCTTCTATATGAGCAACAAGTTCTCGTGAGTACTATCAAGGGGGATAACGAGCTTGCTTTGAAGCTACAGCGAGAAGAAGCAGCCACTCGAGAAAGCCAGCTCTTGTAAGTTCTCCATTTGTTTTTCTTCTTTTCGTTTCAAACTAACGACTTACCGTAAGATCTGGAGCTGACGGGCTTGTCTCATGACAGCTCTGGGAAATATCTGCAGGGACGAACAGCGTGACTTGAAAGATAAGATCAGGGAGGTTGAGCTGAGTTACGAAGAACAACTGAAGCAAATGAAACAGGTGGGAGTTTTTTGCTGGCACTGTCGTCATGTTTACAACTCGGGCATGTTCTGGTAGGATCACGCAAAGGAGATTACCAAAATGAGGCGAGAGTTTGATATAAATGCCAAGGATTTGCTGCTTAAAACGGAGAAAAAGGTGCGTCTGTTTTCTTTGGCTTCTTAATTTTCATCGCGTTTTACCTTTGCCAGATGAGACAAGTGCAAGCCGAAAACGATCTTCGCAGAAAACAAGAGATCCATGAAATTGAAGAGCGTAAAAACTTGCATATTTCAGAGCTTATAAAAAAGCACGAAAAAGCTTTCTCTGAAATCAAATGCTACTACAATGATATCACTCAGAACAACCTTGACCTCATTAAGACGCTGAAGGTACCTTTTGTTTGAGCGCGTGAGTGCCGTCTTTCTAAGCTGCGCCTTGAAAACAGGAAGATATCAACGACATGAAGAGAAAAGAACAGGCAAATGAAAAGCTTATGTACGAGATCTCGCAAGAAAACAAGAGGCTGACAGAACCTTTGACACGGTCTCTGAAAGAAGTTGAAAGCCTGAGAAAACAGCTGGACAGCCACGAAAAGGTAATTAGGATACTGGTTTCCTCTCGAAAATATAAACGTCATATGCAGGATCGACAATCACTACTGCAACTACGAGGCCAACATTCAGATGTTCTGAAGCACACAAGCCAGCTCGAGTGGGAATATAGGATAGTTTTGGACAAACTTGAAAAAGTAAGCTGCTTGTTGTTTTGCTTATGCTCAACAGCCTTGCTTACTTCATGAAACAGGTCCAAGCTGATCGGGACGATCTGTACGCAAGATTTGAAGCTTGTGTCTTTGATGTCCAACAAAAGTGCGGTGTAAAAAGCACCCTCCTTCAGAGACAAGTCCAGGTGCTTGGGGAACAGCTCGAAAAGAAGGTACACTTTTGTGCCTAGAGACTGTAGAGAAAAACTAAGAAAGTCCTACAGGAAGCACAACTTGGAGAGGCATTGGGGAATGGCAAAATGGATCCTGCTACAGTGCATCTTGTGAAGTATGGGATTGACAAGATGTTGGAAGCAAAGAATCAACAGATCAAGACTTTGTATTACGAGTTGGGACGGGTAACGAAGGTATGTATCAAACCTCTAAATGTTTTCAAACTGATATTCTCTGATTTTTAAGGCATATACTACTGTCATGAGAAATTTCGAAGCGAAGCTCGCAGAGTATGGTATCCCGTTGCCAGAGATGGGTTTGCCTCACTACATTAGCAAGATAAGACTATGACGATCAACAAAGTAGTGATTCTCATCTGGAATGCTATCTGCAAAGCCACTCAGGTACTGTCCACCGCCACACGACATTCATTTCTACGTCCAACTCGTGAGATCGTGCACCGAGTGCAAGGATCTTCAACAGGGCAGGCAGGCCCATCAACTGATTCTCAAGAGTTTGCACTACGACAGCGTCTTCCTCGCAAACCTCCTCATCAACATGTTCGGAAAATGCGGCAGCGTTGCCGAAGCTCGCAAGATCTACGACAAAGTCGAGGACCCAGGCGTTCACGGCAACACGATTATGCTCACGGCCTATACCCAGAACGGGTATCTCCGGGAGGCCAAGGAGATGTTCGACTCGATGCGAGACAAGGGGGTGGTGTCCTGGACGAGCATGGTCAGTGGCTTCGCTGAACACTCTCGACTCCGGGAAGCCAGCGATTTCTTCGACAAGATGCCGCAGTGGAACGTGGTGACCTGGAACGCTCTCTTGACTGGATATGCCCGTCACGGGCATCTCGACGAGGCGTGCTCGATGTTCCAAGTCATGCCGCAGCTCAACCTCACCTCCTGGACAACCGTCGTCTCCTCGCTGTGTCAACACGGCCGGCTCGACGAAGCAAGGATACTGTTCGAGAGGATCCCCCAATGGAACACACTCTCGTGGAACTACATGATCCAGGGGTATGCCAAGGGACGGAGGCTGGAAGACGCAAAGCAGCTCTTCGATCGAATGCCATACAGGGATGCGGCATCGTGGACAGCCATCATTGCGGAATACGCACAGAACGCGCATTTGGACTCGGCTGGCAGGATGTTTGCGAGGATGCCGAGCCAGAACGTAGTGACTTGGAACGTCATGCTGGTGGCTTATGCCCAGAACGGGCATCTCGAGAAAGCGAGCAGCTTGTTTTGGAGCATGCCGGAGCGGGATATCGTCTCCTGGACCGCAGCACTTCAAGGCTTTGGGGAACAGGGATACGTCGAGACCGCGACCAAGATGTTCCAAGCCATGCCGCTCAGGGACACCATAGCTTGGAGTGCTGTGATGCAAGCTCTTGGAGAAAACGGCCACCTCGAGGAAGCCAAGCTCTTGTTCGACTCCATGCCGGAGCCGGACTCGGTGGCCTGGACGTGCATGATTCGAGCCTACGGGATGAACGAAGACGTCCAGACGGCTAAACGACTCTTCGACACAATGCCGTGCCGGACAGCTTCTGCGTGGTCGGTGCTCCTCACTGCCTTTGCTGAGAACGGTCACTTTGATGGAGCGAAGTCACTCTTCCATAAGTTCCCGGCCAGGACGGTATGGATCTGGAACTCCATCCTGTTCCTCAACGCTCAGAAGGGTCGCGTCGACACGGCCAGGGACTACTTGCATTACGATCTGCCGGAGGTGGACGTGGTCTCGTGGAACATGATAATCCACGGATATGCACAGAGCGGGCAAGGGGACTGTGGAATGCTCGTCTTCCAGGCGATGGTGCTGGACGGGACGAGGCCGGACAACGTAACTTTCACGGGGGTGCTACTTACATGCAACCACGTCGGTTTGCTCTCTCAAGGCGAGGTGATGTTCGTGTCCATGGTCGAGGACCACGGCTTGGTCCCCGGGGTGGAGCATTTCAATCTCCTCATCGACAACCTCGGACGGTGTGGCCAGCTCCAGAGAGCCGAGGACGTTCTCCACACCATGCCTTACGAGGCCGACCCGCTGACTTGGACGACGTTCCTCAACCTTTGCAAGGTCCATGGCGACTTAAAGAGAGCCGAGCTTGCTGCCGAGAGAGTGGTGAAGCTCCAGCCCGAGAGCTCCGCGCCTTACGTGCTACTCTACAACATCTACGCTGTCCCGGACGAGAAGAGAAAGCATGGCTTGCTCTCGAGGCTGTCACGCAAGCAGCGGAGCAAGATCAGTGCCGGCTCTCGACTGCACGACTCCGGACCAGGAGAAAGGAGTCTTGGCGACATTTCTTGAGAGGTGATGCTCGTCATGGAGATTCAAGCTGACGAACAGTGGTCAACCAGTGTGAGTAGAAACTTTCTTTCATGGACTTCGTTTAAACTGTCCTTTGATATTTGTTTCAGCTGCGCCGATTCGTGATGATAAAGACCGAACACCCGTAAGCATTTACGCAAGAAATCACGGTGTTCTACTGATACGTGCTTGCGTGTTCTAGGTGGAAAAGCTTTTACACGACCGATTAAAAGCACGACATATAGCTTATTAGCAACTGAGAGAGTCTGACCAAAAACCACAAAAATGAGCAACAAGATCAAGCTGCTCCAAGAATCAAAATGGAGCGAGCCACTACCAAGACCAAAACTAGACGTACAAGCAATTCAACTTGCCTGCCTGCCTGGTAAGAGTTCCTCTTATTTTTCTTTTCTTAGCGAACCTGATCGCTCTTCTTCGTCTCCCGTGCTTGCTTGCTTTCAGATGAGCGCCCGGAGGTTGGTGCTGTGCTTGGCCAGCTTGTGCCACTCAGTGTGGAAGGAGCCGCTCATATCCACTCGCTCGTAAGTGTGCGCACCGAAGTAGTCGCGCTGGGCCTGGACGAGATTGGCCGGAAGTCTCCCTCGACGGTAAGTATCGAAGTAAGCCAAGCTCGCAGTCATGCCAGGAGTACTAATCCCCGCACTCACAGCCAGGCTCACCACTCTCCTCCACGCCGCCTGCCGCTCCACCATCTCCTTCGCAAACTCAGGATCGATCAACAAGCTCGCCAGGTTCGAGTTCCGATCGTACGCCTTCTTGATCCGGTCCAGGAACACGGCCCGGATGATACAGCCACCTTTCCAGATCCTGGCAAGCTCGCCCAAGTCGAGCTTCCACCCCTGCTCCAGGCTCTTGGCTCGCAGCAGATTCATCCCCTGCGCATAGCTGCAGATCTTGGACGCGTACAGCGCCTTCCTCACATCATCAACGAGCTGCTTCTTGTCCACCGCGACGTGGTTGAGCACATCGGGCAGCCCAGCCTCGGCAAAGATAGCAGCGGCAGCAACGCGCTCCTCCTTGAGCCCGCTCAAGAACCGCGAGTCGAGCGACGCAGCTATGGTGGGAGCCGCGATGGAGAGCTCGGCAGCCTGCTGGACAGTCCACTTCCCGGTGCCTTTCATCCCAGTCTTGTCCAAGATCTTGTCAACGAGATCGCCACCGGCCTTGTCATCCTTGACGGAGAAGATGTCCGCGGTGATCTCCACCAGGAAGCTCTCGAGCTCGCCACGGTTCCAGTCCGCGAAAACTTGGTGGAGCTCCTCGTTGGTGAGGCCGCCGACCGACTTGAGGACGTCGTAGGCCTCGGAGATGAGCTGCATGTCGCCATACTCGATCCCATTGTGGATCATCTTGACGAAGTTCCCAGCTCCGCCGGGGCCGACGTAGGTGACACACGGACCATCGTCTACCTGGGCCGCGATCTTCTTGACGACGTCCTCGACGTAGCGGTAGGCCTCGGGCGTTCCTCCAGGCATGAGAGACGGGCCATGGCGGGCGCCCTCCTCGCCACCGGAGACTCCCATCCCCAGGTAGAGGAGACCCTTCTCCTTGGCGGCGGCGATCCTCCTCTCGGTGTTCTCGTACCACTCGTTGCCGCCGTCGATGATGCAGTCGCCGGGCTCCATGAACTGGGCGAGCGTGGCAATGGTCTGATCCACCGGGGCGCCGGCCTTGACGAGGATGATCACGGATCGGGGGCGCTGGATGGAGAGCACGAAGTCCTGTGGGTTGCGGTAGCCGGCGAGGGGGAGATTTCCCTCCGCCTTGGCGCGCTCCACGGTCTCGTCCACCTTGCCGGCGGTGCGATTGTAGACGGAGATGGGGAAGCCCTTCTCGCCGATGTTGAGCGCCAGATTCTGGCCCATGACGGCCAGGCCGGCCAGGCCGATGCGCGACAGAGCTGTGGCGTCCATGCTCGCTTGCGCTTGCGCCTGGGAGGAGATCGATGAGGGAGAGGAGCTGTGGAGCTCTGGGAGAGCTTTGCTTACCAGACGGTCCTGTAGAACCCTAGGTGTTCCTCCTCGGTGGCTCCTCACACACACGAAAATGTAGACCTCAGGCGCTCTATAATCCACACGTTTATTTAGGACTAATTTCATGTAACAGAAAGTTGTATCATATTATTATACATCTGTTTAACATCTATAAATCAAATGTTTTTAAAGCTTTCCTTGGCTTGTGCTCTTCTTTGAAGGCCATGCCATCCCTTGGTGCTCCGAAGTATGTATCATTAATAAATAAAATGAAATAACAAAATTATATAGTGAAGTTTTATTAATCCTATAATAATTTATTCTTTAAGAATCTCTTTTAGTTTCTTTTAATAAATTATATAGTAGCAGCTTTTTTTTTGTTAATGTGTTATTATGCATATAAAAACATTAAATTTTAGATTAATAGATGTAGTGTTTATTATAATTTGAAGATAGTATTTAAAAGTTCTTTTATTGTGAATTAAAAGAAATTTTAAATATTCATAAAGAAATATTCAATCTGTTTTATAAAGAAAACAAATTACTTCTACAGCTTTATGATTCAATAAACATCTTAATCTTTAGCAAAATAATGAATTAACGTCTTCACAACATCTACTATATTTTTTTCTGTTATATTTAAAATATATGATAATAATCGTTTATTATATTAATTTTTTATTTTTGTTATTTCTATTTTACCATTTCATAATTAATAAATATATATATTTAAAAATTCTAATTAAACATCTTAGTAATACTAAAATTGAAAATAAAAATGAAAAGCTTGTATGAAACAACACAATCATTTGAATAGCTGCAAAGCTTCCTGGCTAGAACTCGTTGACGCGTATGTGGCGTCTTAGTTCCTTGTGATGGATGAAGCTCACCACCAAGTCCTCGAGCTTGGAAGGAGACGATCCGATAAGCTTTCCCACCACATCTCCTCCCTTGTAGAAATAAAAGGTTGGCTACACACAAGCCAGGCAAAGGAACGATTTGAAGCTCAAAAATGCGACAAGAGAGGAAACATTACCAGTCGTGATGTGTCTATTTGCCCCACAATCTCTTGGATTCCCTCCTGTCAAACAAAGAGATCGACGTTAAGATGTGCATGAAATCTTGTCTTCCATTTTGTTTTGATACCTCTTCCACCTCGAGCCTCAAAAATGTCACCTCTGAATTTCTCTTGGCTATTTTGTACACAGCGTCCTCGGATTCCTGGCCTAGACACACAAGCGGATCTCAATCTTGAGAGAAAGAAAGAGGCACTTACATGAATTGGAACGCTCCTCCGACGTGAAGAACACAACGCCAAAGGAGATCGGAGCTAGGCAGAGGAAAAATGGAGAAGAGAAAAATCACTTCATTGGCATTGGCAATGAATGAGGAGGACTTACTCGCTTTGATTTTGTGTAGCAAGTGCTTGTAGTCGTCCGCCGTGGTAACATCGATGATCCGGGGATGCCACCGCTCCTTGGACCCTGAATCCAAAAATGTAGCTTTCGAGAGAAACCTCTCGCTTACCTCGCGGAGGAACGCTGCCGGGAAGGCCAGTCGAAGTGAGGCGCTCCACGACCTTTCTCCGGAACGCCATAAACCCTAGATACGTCGTCGAGGGGCTCGGCTTGCCAATGGAGTACTTAATTCGTGAGAGCGTTTGCTACTATTACATACGCTGCGGGGTCCCTATGATCGAATTCTATAGCCTCCTTTGCGCCATGCTTTACAAATTCTTTCCACCTCGCCTTGCAAGCTCCCAAGAAACACCTCATTTCGAGCGCATCTGGCACAAATGGCATTGTTTCCATTAGATCTCTCGCTTCTCCGAGTCGTCCACTCCTGCCCAAGAGATCAAGCACGCAGCAGTAGTGCTGCTTGGTGGGAGCAATCCCATAATCAAATGCCATCGAGACAAAGCAATCTCTTGCCTCCCGTGTCTTGCCTGCGTGGGTTTTAGCAATTAAAAGAGACAGGAAGCTCACTCCATCCGGGAACTCCACCATCACCATTGCATTGTAAAGATCAATCGCGCTAGACGAATGACCACTCTGGGCATACGCTGCAATCATGGCCGTCCACGCGACCAGGTCCGCCTCAGGCATTCTGTCAAAGGTCTGTCTGGCACCGTCCACGTGTCCAGCGTAGACAAAGGCAGCGACCATGGCCGTCGATGCCGCCACATTCCGTTCCGGAATCTGTTCGTACAGCGTTTGCGCATCGCCCAGATGCCCATACCGGGCAAATGCCAGAACCATTGTTAGCGACGATGTTTGGTCGTGCTCCGGCATCCAATCCATCGCTCTCACGGCATTTTCCAAATCCCCGGCATGACTGTACGCAGATAACAAGGCTGTACACGAGGCCATGCTCCTTTCTTTCATGCTGTCGTACACGGATTTGGCCCGTGCTACGGCTCCGTATTCAGCATATGCCGTGATCATGGCTGTGGAGGATTCCAAATCCCACTCGGGCATTGACTCATACAAGGTGGCTGCCTGGTGCAAATCTCCACTGCGGATGTGGGCGTTTATGATTGCTGTCCATGAAATTATGTTCTTCTGGGGCATCATTTGGAAGATTCTATTTGCTTTGTGGAGCTTATCAGTTTGAGAAAGAGAAGCCAGCATCGTCGTTGAAGATACCAAGTCCCACTCGGGCATCTTATGAAAGAAGTTCCAGACTTGTTCCGGATGCCCAAGCGTGGCAATTGCCGAGTGCATCGCACTCCAGAGTTTCAAATCTCTTTCTGGCAGAGCATCGAACATCTCAAAGCACTTATCGAGACAGCCGTGGCTTTTGTAAGCTACAAGAAGCGCATTAACGGAGACCGCGCCCCATTCAGGCATTTCGTAAAGGATTTGAAGAACATCCTCTAGATGCCCGTAATGGGCATGCGCTAAAAGCATCGAGTTCCACGCTACAATATCCCATTCTGGCATTCTGTAAAACAAATCAGCCGCATCGATCAGCAAGCCCTTCTCGGAGAACAAAACCAACATCACCGTCCAAGAGATCTTGTCCCTCTCAACCATCACGTCAAACAGCCGCTTTGCCTCCCGCAGATGCCCGTTCCTAGCATATGCTGTCAGCATGAGATTCCAAGAGAAGGAATCTTTGTACGGCAGCCCGTCAAACACCCGCCTAGCATCGCTTGCGCTCCCGCACCGGCCGTACATCTCAACTAACTTGTTGGCGACGAAAACGTCACAGCCCGTCACTAGTGTAACCCGGGCATGGATTTTTTTTGCCTCGCACAGAGTCTTACAAGACCGCACAAGCTCCACACACTGCTTGCGGTCCATCAAAGTCAACACCAAAGTCAACGCCCATGGAAGTCAACGATGGTCAATTCCGTCATTAGAGAGAAAGAGAAGCTTTGCTACAGTGGTTCCCCATTCCAAACTCCAAAAGGAATGTGTGTTGATACACAACGAGAGTAAACCCAGGGGGAGAGGGGAGTAAACGAAGAAAAGATGGAGGAGAGAAGAGAGGTAGAAATCACAAGAACCTGTGCTTGAGAACTATTACAAAACTTGTCGCTGCTGCTGCTGCTGCTGCTGGTGTTGTAGCTCCTGTTGATGCTGGTGTTGTGCCTGCTGCTGATGATGGTGGTGGTGGTGAAGGTGGTGATGGTGCTGCTGCTGCTGCTGCTGGTGATGGTGGTGTTGGTGTTGTTGTTGATGTTGATGTTGATGCTGTGATGGTTGTAACTGCGGTTGCTGCAATGCTGGCAATGGTTGCAGCTGCGCCGATGGTTGCAACTGCTGCTCATGGTGGCGACGAAAGTTTCGCTTCTCCTGCTCGTCAAACACCCGCAGCATGATCCGCTCCAGGTGAAGCGGCTGGTTCTCTCCCAGCAGCTGCGGGTTGGCCTCCATCGCCACCTTGAAATCCAACGCCGAGATCTGCCCAGCAGCGGCAGCACCAGCACCAGCACCAGCACCACCAACAAGCTGTTTCGACTCCACCACTCCTGCCGGGCCTTGCAAGAGGTGGTGCGAAGATCCACCCCAAACCACACCATTCAGTGCCGCCGCTACCGACGACGTTGAGCTCTGGAATCCATGCTGCTGCTTGTCTCCTCCATCTTTCCTCCTCGACTGTACAAACTCCACGGAAGCTCCGATGATCCGCTTGAGGTAAACGTCGAGCGCCTGGTTGAGTACATGCCCGCACTCGTGGCTCACCCCCTGTAGTCCCTGCTCCACTATAGCGACTTCTTCCATGCGTCGCCGCATGCCATCTCCATCTGGCAGATCGCTTGCTTCCAGGCACTCGTCCTCTATACTATCCCCTACTAAAGAATGTGTAAGGTGGTGGTGGTGGTGGTGGTGGTGGTGATGGTGGTGTGGCGGCCGCTTCAACACCGCCGCTCGCTGGGCCGATCCCACACTTCCCACGCAAAACGGTGTCCCTAGCGGCGCTCGCACCGACCAGGCGTTCCATAATGTACACTCTTGCTGCTGCTCGTCCGCCGCCGCCGCCTCTTCCGCGGAGAGAGGAGAGGTGGTGGTGGTGGTGATCGCGGCGGCGGCGCCGTCCTCTCTCGGCGAAGCTTTGTCGAGGTGGTGGCCGGGAACGAGACGCGGACGCTTCAAGGTCTCCTTTGCCTTGCGGATCCCCGTCCTGTTCTTACGAGGCGACGTGAGGATCGCGGCGGCGGCGGCGGGCAGCGGCGGGAGCGGCGCCTGGGGGGAGCACACCGCGGCATTGTAGAGGATCGCTCGCACCAGCTGGTTGTGGAGAGCTACGTTCTCCTTGCCGATGGCGAGCACGACTTGGCGGTCGAGCTCGGTCTTGCTCAGCCGGTGGCTCAAAAATCTGGAAAAAATGCTAAAGTATTGGCTCTCCTTGTCCGGTCCCAGGATCTTGGAGAGCCGGGCTTTGAGCTCCTGTAAGTTGATACGCGCGGCGGCTGGCTGAGACGCTGGCATCTCATACAAATCCCATCACCTGTCCAATGCTACTGCGATGATCTTCTTCCTCTCCCCCAATTGTAATCTATGATCTGCCCAGAAACCTACGCTGTGCGTGCCCGAGCGCGACTAAACCCTAGAGACGATCCCACTAGGGTTGCGACGTAGCGATGGAGCTGCGAGAGATTTGGAGCTGGGAGAGGGCGGACAAACCTAGCCGGAGCTCCCGCATTGGCCGCCGCCCGGCTACTCTGCCCCGAAATCGCCAGCGCCGGGCGAGATTCCCGCTCCAGCGATCACCGGCGCGCATTGTCGCAAACCCCAATTCGTCGAGCAGCAGCGGTAGCGATGGCAGCGCGACGATCGATCCTCTCATCACACGGCCTTAGCAATTGCGCTGCCCTGGAGCATCGGCGATCGTCTCCATCGAGAGCGTGAAAATCACTCGCACTGCCCGCCAATGCCGGTATGGCGGGCTATGGCGAATGCCAAAACCCCAGCTACGCTCCCCCTCCCTCGCGGGAGATCGCCCGGGCGCTACGGCGTATCCCACCGGAGATATACAGCGATCGCCCGCTAAGCATATTCTCCCAGAATTAGGGTTCTTTGTTTTCTTTGGCGAAACTATGGGCGAGAGCTTCTCCGGCGCGGGGGAGTTGGAGACGGCGCTCTACACATTGGAGGATGTGTTGCAGCACTCCACCAGGGACGATTGCTGGATCGTTGTCGATGGCAAGGTGGAGAGATTTGTTCGCTTGGATTGACTTGCCCCTCCCTTCGCTCTTGAATTGATTGATCTTCAGGTCTACGATGTGACGAAGTTCCTGCTGGATCATCCCGGCGGAGATGAGGTGATTATCGCATCGACAGGTCCAGATCTTGTTCCTCTTTTTTTTTCTTCTTCTTCTTGGGATTTGATTCGATGTTCTTCGTCCTTTCTAGGCAAGGATGCCACGGATGATTTCGAGAACGTCGGCCACAGCAACAGCGCGCGAGCGATGATGAAGGAATACGTGATCGGGAGAGCGAACGCGTCCACATTTCCCAGCAAGCCATCGTACTCCTACTCGGGATCTTCGACTCAAGCGGCCCCATCGGTGCCGGATCGTAGCGATCTCCTCATCAAGGTGCTCCAATTCGTCGTCCCTTTCTTCATCCTGTGCTTCGCTCTAGCCCTTCGCTACCTCGCCAAGGAGGAAAGAGCCCCCAAAGTAGAATAGTGGTGATGGAACTCTCTCGGGTGGAGCTCCTACGCTCCACCCGTCGATTGAAAGCCCTCATCCTCCTCTAAAGCAGCGGTACTCCTCTTTCTTCTCCTGGATTTTCTTCCCCAGCTTGTGATGACTTTGTTCGCTTTACCACCTCTTTCTCGCTATGAGATTTACTGAGCTCTTGTAGCAGTGAAAGTTTTAGCAATCACGCGAGTGAAGATCGCCGCGATCTCCGAGGAATCTTGCGAGAGTTATGGCCAGGTGGATGATCACTGGATAGAGCTTGTGCATTGGCCTGTCGATGGCGATTCAAAACCGGCAGCTTGAAGCGAGTATGCTACTCGGCTGCTGGAGAACAAAGAAACGAACTTTAGATACAAGCAAGGAAGACTATGGCATTGCCGAAGCTCCAAGAGTTTCATTGTGCTGGGAGGCAAGCCATCTCCACCTTAGAGACGATGCTTAGCCATTTTCCTCCTGGCTCGTCTTCTGCTCCAACTTTCGAGAATCCCGAGCTCCGCTTTGATTACGAATTCAGCAAAACGAGCCTCTCTCGCTCAAGGCCATTGCTTCCATGGAAGTCGAGCCATGACTGGAATCCAGACTCCACAGTATCGAACTTCATGCGGCTTTTGATGCTTCTCCGGAAGATCCAGAAGACGGTGCACGTAAAAGTGTCTTCGCTGAACACTGGAACCATTGCTAGTGAGCTTGAAGATGCATGGCATGGGTTCCGGAAAGTCAGTCTCCATAGCACGAGCCCGGAGTCTCGGGTGCCAGACTTCCGAAACTCGGGCCAACTTACAGCATGAAGCTCCGGCTGCTATCACTGTCAAGACGCTCTTCAGCCTCGACTCCAGAGTCTCCAGAACACGTTTGTCCTGATCCGTGGTAGAACTTTTCGTGTCGTCGAGAAACTCTCGAACGCTGGGACCGCTTTGTTGAAAAGCTGCATTTTGACCATGCTCCTTCGAATATATCCCTTCCTCTCAAGGATAGTGTCGCCTCACCTGTAAGCCATCAACCCGTCTGCAAAGATCTTCAACATTGCAACTTTCCTCGCCATCAGGTACTGTTCCTTGTTCGGTAGCGTCTCCTCCCATCGCCGCATCCCGAGCAAAGAAATCGAATCGAAAGAGTGAAGTTGTCAGCAAAAATCCGGGTGATTATGGAAATTACTGTTCTACCACTTATAATAAAACTAGTACTTGCCCAGCCAATGCTGGGTAGTTGGCAAAGCCTCTCAAACTTACTAACATATCTTTGTGAGAATTTGCTCACATCTCACAATTTCCTTGTGAAATGATTCTTTTATTTTTAGCACCAGTCTATTGTTATCCATTGGGCCATAGGGAAAATTAAAAAACAAACAAAGTTTATTGTAGTTTGTTTTTATGTTTTAAAGTGTAGTAGGACAGGAGTTAGTTAATATAAAGCTTCTTTATATACAGTATTGATGGTGAATGTTGATGAATTGAATGGAATTAAGCGGCCTTGTATATGAGTTGTGTCAACTCGAATTGCAAGTTGTTGTGGTGATGTGCATCTTGAGAGTGCAACATAGAGCTGCCCATGGGTAAAGACTGGCTGAGGTAAGTAGATGCCTACACGATCAAATGTTTGACCTTGGCATTTTGAAATTGTTAAGCAGTATCCAAGACGAAGAGGAAATTGTTTTCGAGACATATGGAATGGAACATCTGAATCAGAGGGTGTTAAGTTAATGCGTGGGATAAAAGTTCTAGTACCTTTAAATTCACCTGTAATTATTTCACAGTCCAAAACTTTAGGTGAAGTTCTTTTGACCATTAGTCGAGTTCCATTGCATAATCCAATTGTTGGAGACATATTTCTCAAAAGAATAACTATACAACCTTCTTTTAGTATCAATTTGTGTGGTGGTAGTCCAGAGGGAGTGATAGAGTTTAGAAATTCAATCGGGAAATCTTCAGGGTGTTCAACATCAACAGAGTCAATGCTAGTATAAGTTTGAGGTGGACCTAGTAATTGAGAGATGATGTTGTTGTTAATTGGAAATGTATCATCATTGAGAGGTGTTAAAATGGCTCTATTTGCTGCAATTTGAACATTTGAAATATCTTCGATACATGGGAATACGAAATCAGTAATAGAGGTACTTCTAATTAGTTCTGAAGGAAGAAGGATAGAATCAAGTGGTAAAATAGAGTTTTGTGTGTAATTATTTCCATCACCGACTTTTAATAGCCATTCTGCCCAATCTGGGAACTTGGGGCCAAGCCGCATATTTGTTTGCAATTGAAACTTTCTAAATAAATTCCATAGACTATTCATTCTTACAGATGTGGAAACAATTTGTGCTCGATGACTGTGTGGGACAACTGGTAATGTTTGACGGAAGTCACCACTTGTAACAATAACAATGCCACCGAATGGAGAATTATTTTGTTTTAAGTCTCGTAGGCAGCGGTCGACAGCTGAAAAGGCAAGTGTATGAACCATACTAATTTCATCCCAAATAAGCACTTGTATTGCTTTCATAGATCTACCGGCATTGTTATTAGGTGTTAAACCAGAAACAGATGTATCATTAATTGGAACTGGTAACTTAAAAGTTGTATGGGATGTTTGTCCATTGTGTAGTAGTGTGCTTGCAATGCCTGTCCATGCCATACAAACCACTTTTTTATTGTAGAACTCAAAATATTTTACCATTGTATTTAATAAATATGTTTTGCCAGTACCACCAGGGCCATCAATAAAAATAAAACGATTGGTATCGGTCGGGCACTCGACAATATTAACAATTTCATTGAATATAGTTAATTGTTCAACATTCAAGTTTGCAATATAATGGTAAATTTCTGTATATGAATGGTTGCAATTTGGTATTGGTTGAATTGAGGTATTTAGGATTGGGATAGGTAAATTGTATGATTGATTTGTTTTACCATGTATTTTCATTCTTGAGTTAATGTCTATTAGAGCAAGTTTATATCTGCATATAATATTTGTTCTACTAAAATCTTCAGAGAGCTGATCCTTAAAAACATCCCAAAGATATGGTGGGTCTTGTGGATTGCAAAAAATACATATGAAAGTAAAGAGTTGACGCAATTGTGTAGGCATTTGAAAATTACATGCTTCTTGTAAACAATTATACCACTCGTTGTCATCATCAAGAAGACCCATAGCAACAGCAGTTTGTTGAAAGCTTCGGTAAGTTACATCATTAACTATTTTAATATTGTCGAAGGATGTTGCTCCTCTTTTATGAAGAAGAATAATACGTAAATGGTACAACTCGGTATTTAGAGGAGATACTGAGTATAGTCGAGGAATAACCTTTTTTTTTTTTCGACGTTGCCATACATTAACAGATTTATTGAAAACATAATGTAAAGGTATTTCAACATAGGTATATTGTCTTGCATTCAGATCATGAATATTGAGTTCGAACCATTTTGTTAGCATTGTTCCATTACGTGTTGCTCTTTGCAAAGCATTGTGCTCCGAGCCTTCTGTAAAATACACATTTTGGAAGTCAGGAAGATGTACGGGCAGACGTATTATAGGGTGTGAGCGTCCATGCATTTTAAATTTAAATATCCTCCAAATAGCTTCCGGTGCTGAAATGTATCGAGTATTTATAAAATTCGTGATTTCATCCCAGTTTAATACGTTTGCAGATTGAGTAGCTGTTTGGACTTGAATGGTTGCACAATCATATCCTTTATAAACATATTGAAAAAGATACTTAATACTTTTAATTGATGCACATATTTCTATATTTATATGGGCCTTGTATTTTTTACATAAATATTTATTATATGGGACAATCCATCTGTTATCAATTGGAACATCATTTTTAAGGAAGGTGCGACCATTGTTTGGCCTAAAATATTCTGGGTATCCATCCACACAGTATGTAGTCCCGTCATTGAAGTTTTTGGGATAGTTTTTGGAGCATTTTTTGTTTTCCATACATGGACTTTGAGAATTTAGTAATCCACATGGACCATGTATCATATGTGATGTGATTATTTCAAATAGTTCGGGCTCTGATAAAGGGTCAGGTAATTGAGCAGATACATATTGGTCAATAGTATCACGGTCTTTAATTTTACTTTCATTATCTAATATGCCTAGGAAATGACAATGAGGCAAACCTCTTTTTTGGAACTCAATGACATATATAAATGCAATACATCTTCCAAAGATATTATTTTGTGTAATATCATAGAGAAAATATTTTAGCTTCATGTTAAAAACCCTAGCAACTAAATCAGGTCGATCTTCAGGTCCTTCATTAGGGTGTAGATTTTGTAATATCTCAGGCCTTTTAGGGTTGCAAGTGAAAGTTATGAAAATATCAGGTTTTGAGTGTTTTGTTACAATTGCCATAGCATCTTGGTAATTTTGTTGCATAGCTCTGGGGCTTCCTGTAAAAGTAGAAGGTAAAATAACAATTTTTCCTGGTCGAGCATTTGCATCAGCAGCTTTTCCAGCAACATAATCCATCAAACCTGTATAAAAATCAACTCTCATATTTTTTTGATTAGATCTATAGTATTGTAAATTGTTGCTTTCAATTTTAACATAGGCATCTACAATATATTGTTGGGTGAGTTTTCCAGCATGTAAAATTTGGTCATATGTAATTGTAGAGGTTGATAATGTTGAATCTCTTTTGGACAAACGATAAGCATAATATTGAAGGAGTGTTACATGCTTGTTAGAAGAAAGCTTGTCATGCCAAGCTCTATCTCCATATGGAAAAAGTAATGGATAAACCATAGGATCACAATTAGCATTTAAAATAGATATATGTTGTGGTTCTGATGATTTTGGATGAATACATATTTCACGGTCAAAAGGTGGCACACCATCTTCACTTTGGAAAACTATTGCAACATCATTAGTTTGTGGAGTATTATATCGACGATGGTCTGTGCCTTCATTTTTAATAAGCATATAAACTCCACGTAAATTGCTACCAGAAATAATAGTTCTTGAAATATTTTCCTGTTCCAATTCATACATCATTCTAAAAGCTTGTGCATATGGATTAATATATCGAAGTATCGTATCTAGTTGAAGTAGTAAATTATAATCACAGTTAATGTTAAAAGGGTTTTGTTTTCTGATATCAGTAGCCTCATTGGAGTCTAGCATGTACAATTGACTGTAGCTTGGATTTTGATGTACTG